TGACATCGACTCCTGCTCCACCATCAATTGCTTCAGTCCAGCTATTGCGTGCAATTAGCAGGTTCGTGATGCATGAGCGCTTTTGTCGGAAGCCATGTTGCTTTGGTGGTATCATCTTGTGATTTCTCAGATACTGCATGAGTGCACCAACGATGATAGACTCCAAAACCTGGGAAAGCACAGGGGGTAGCGTTATTAGTTGGGTCAGGGCGGCTACCTCCCTTAAGAATAGGAGTGATGACCCCTAGCTTCCATATTGTTGGAATATAACTCTCCTCCATACAGTGCTAATAGAATATAGTCAGTGGTTCCAGCGGAACACTGACCGCTGCCTGTAAAGCCTTCCGTTGAATGTTCTCGACGCCAAGAGAGCTGTGGATACTCAGGGACAACCGTTTCTTTGACACAGTTGCTGCAGTATAGGTGATATTGGGTAAAGCTGACGGTGGAACAATAGAAACACGGATGGCCGTTGGACCCGTTACTCTCTGGAACGTTTGTGAGTAATGGGACCGTAAGAGATCGGTTGTTTCCGTTGCTGATCGCGTGCACTCGTCAGTCGTGACCAGTGCTGGAATTCCGTGTTGCACCTTACGGAGGCCATTAACATACCTATACTAGAGGTTTCGGTTCGTGCCGAATCTATTCATTAACTCCTGCTGATGCGACACCTTATGCTTGCAGATCAAACTCACACAGAAGTTACGCCGTGCCACAAGGCAGTCCAGGTTTCAGAATTCGGGGATTCCTGGTGATCTCCCCATGCTAAGTCCCTCAAGGACATGCATTCGCGTGTTCTGCTCCTTAGAAATGACTTCATCTTTGACGATGGAAGGATTTCTGCTCACGCGCGTGCGTTACCAGTATGCTAAATGTCCTTAAGTAAGTGCACCAAGTGATTTCGGAGGTGCATTCCGTTAAGAAGTTCCAAGATACCTCATAACAAGCGCGAATAACACATTGTAATGCGTGACCGCATACACTTTATTATCCACTTCCTTAGGATATTCAGCGTAACATACATATTTAAACATGGAGTCACGTGATCATTGCTACCCAATGGTGTGCTTGTAATTATTCTATCGAACATGAGTTCTTTGTTGATGAGCACAAGATCAAGTATCGACGGCTTGTTAGCATTTCGAAATCCGGTGAGAGGTCACGTGGTTGTGCAGAGGGTAGGTGGTAATTACCTCATGTAAACAGGCTTTGAAGTGCATGCTATCGGTCTCCGCTATTTCCAGGTCGTGCACATTAAAGTCGTTTGCGATGAGAATGTGACTGTATGCCTTGCTCAAAGTAACCAGAAGAATGTGGTTCAGTTTGGAGTCCATTTCACACGTCGAGGTTGGCGGGCGGTAAATCACAGCTATAGAACATGTGTTTTGTTCCACAACCCTAGCCAGCACCAAAGCAAATCTGGGGCACGGCTTTCTGAATGCTCAATAAGTTCACATCGGAAGATACACTTGTAATACAGAATGACGCCACCACCACTTTCAGCACCGGTCGGCTGCTAATCGTTCTTTGCGTGGGTCATTGCTTCTTTCATTTCAGGAAGGCAACATGCTAGCATAGAGCATCTCAGATCTAGATGTTCTGTCGTGTGTCTCCCTGTCCCGTCAGGTGTCGCAAATGCATTATTGTCGACAACATTGTAGGATTGTGGCGGTACATATTTTACTTGGGTTGCATGGTCCAATGAAGCGCTAACTAATAGGGACTGTGCGCCTGTTAGCCTAAACTCGATAGGCATTCTGGAGCGATGCTTCAATCAACTATCCAATGGGAGTTCCGTCATTCCTTCGGAGTGTAGCACGACTATTAATATTTTTGGACCGCAGCCCTTATAGTTTAGAGATGAAGGAATTCTCCTTAGTGATTTAGCAATAACCTGGTCAAGAGAGAGTGGATCGCAGATGTAGCACCACTGCTATCGGCCATGTCTTTGCGCTCCGTGATCAAGAGAGCCCAGTAGTTCAGGGACACCATGAACAAATACGGTGTTCTTGCTTTCGTTCGTAAACGGGTCACCATGATTTTCTTTCTCCGTTGACCATCCTCTCCAAGGAATACCTGGTAGTATACGTAGCCGACCCGAAGAGTTGAGAAGATGAACTGCTGAGAGTAGGACTATCTCCGTCTCCTCAGTTAACTTCAAGGGGTTCGCCGTAGTGCACTAAACCTGGGCGATGCGCTACGCGTCGTAGCCCAGTTGGATCAACCAAAATAACAATCGTATCGCAGATTGCATTCCACTTGTTGCGATCAGCTACCAGGTTGCCCTTTATTGTGCCAGCCCTGGACTCAGGAACCTTACCGTGCATGAGCGTTAACGCACTGTGGTTATGGTTAGCGAATGTCCGTTTGAGTATTGTGGCTAGTAACTTGGATTGTTTGGCTAGCATTAAAGAATGTTTTGAAAACGGCGTCACCTCGTTCGTGCTTGGTTCAGAAAATGGACATACGTGGGTCCCTTAGACATTTTTATCGAGGCGCCCGATGCGTAGGTAACCCGGCTCTGGAATATGGTGTCTGTGTTGTGCCCAGCTCGTGAGACATGACATTTCGAGATGAGTTAAGGGCAAGCACGCCGGATGTGGCTTGCCTACTTAAAAGCTTAGTAATTGTCGGAGTAGGTGGCCCGGATGCCGTTGGCGTTTCGCAAGCCGGACCTTAACCTTAGACTTAGGATTAGAGCTCTGAGGGGCTTGCTGTAGAACAAGATCTGTGTTGTTAGGTTCTAACGGCAAAGCCCTGAAGCTCGCCATCTGCTGGACTGTTTCAGTCAGTTTCTCACACTTTTCACGCGCGATATTATATATTTGACTATTAGGATTGCTTTGCATGTTTGGCAAACCAGACTGAATCAGTCAGGTTGATTTTTCTCTTATATTATAGCTGACTTAAAACAATACAGAGGACGTGACACGGAAGGCTGTAACATTCACAAATAATGCCTCTTCCAATTAGGCATGCACACTTCTGCTAACCACATTGTCGTTTAAGTGGAATCAGTTCCATTGAGGGCCGTTGCTGCAAATGAACGCTGCCCTTGTCTTCACGTGAGAGAGATGGCGAGTGAAGCTCTTGTTCTTTGTTCCAGTCGCATCCTCGATCTCGGTTTTCGTAGGTGACGGTGTCACGACGAGGACACACCCACACCAAGTTTGGTTAACTTATTGATCCATAATGGCCCCTGTAGGACAAAGCCATTGGAATTGACTTGTAGTGGGTGAATGACAGCGAAAAGTACAGGCGGTGGACGAATGCGATTGAAACGACAGACTGAGTCGTGCTTCATTAGAAATGATCCTAGGGATGTAATTCCAGGACCACTAGACAGTGCAGCGAATCCTTGATCGCTCACAGCATTGAAGTGGTGAAACTGCTAAAACGACAGGTTGGCGCTTCTGGATAAAAGCACGAAGCGCGCTAAAACAACTTGGGTAGGAAATAGGTTCGCAAAAATATCCCCACTGAACACGGGGACTTGCTCCGATTCGCATGAGTGTATCATGATTGTGTTAGGTGAAGAGGAAGATTTGAACCATTGTTACAGAGTTGCGCACGTTTACTATGCGACCAATCAGGCGGATCCGGACTCAACAGTAATTTTGTACGCCTCCGCTGTACCCCCATGGCTGCAGGCAATTTAACCACAGCCTTGCCTCGAACGTCTTCGTAGATCTCAATAGCTGTGGCTGGCTAAGACCACTTAGATGTACGAGATGAGTGATCACCTTATCTCGGTTTGTAGTTCACAATTTTGACATGTCCAACCATCTTGCAATTGTAAGTCCGTTCCCTCATACTCGGAAATCGTCTCAGATCGGTGATGAATATTGATCTGCCTCGTAAGTTTGCCATTCACACAGGTTAGGTTGCTCAGGAAGAACGGATTCTGCTACAGAATGACAACGGTTTGGCTTCATAGTATTCACTGCGCCAACATGAAAGCTAGGATTCACCAGTAGGACGCAATTACATACTCACCTTTACACGTCGACCGATTTGTTTCGCTGTTTCCACATTGCTACTTTATGAAACGAATTAAAGACACTACGTCTCTGTCAAGTGAGTTAACTGACCAACCACCATGCTTGACTGACTTTTAATGTTGAAGGACATTAACTTTCTACATTTTTTGTGAAGCACATATTGCCGCAAATGAAAGAGATCATTCTTTCCACCGTTGAAGTGATAGTCGTGATGGAGAGGTTCTCGCTAGTTATTTCAGGAACCTTACAGACACATGCCTGTCCACTTCGTCTTTGACTATTCTTTTCTGATCTTGACAGTAAACCGGGAGTGTCTCAGTATAGTTGTACCGGAAGCCAATTGCTATTCATGCACACCCAACCATTTGCTGAAAATCGACCGGAATTTTATGCTACAATATAATATACTTAGTGCTTATTTAAAACTTGTCACGACGACAGCCAGACCGTCCCGTGTCACTCAACAGATCCTGTATGCAATTCACACTTACGCGGCATCTGTGTCAGAGTGCACACGTGATGTGTGCACAAAATGGTAACAATTTGCTTTCATCTCGCATATCACAACTCAAACACCTCGTAGGCTTCTTCTACAGCAGACCGTGAGTTGTTTTATTCTTTTAACATGCAGGTAAACCGTTTCGGAGGGTTGTGTAATCATGGAGTTTATTTACCGTCACATTCGGGAGAAGTGGTACAATTCGGTCGTACGTCCTTTGTGCGTTGATGTTTCTAAGAGCCGCGCAAATAGGGAATTTAATCACATATCCGGTGTTTTTGTCCTCACCCGGAAAGCGCTGGTATACTGAGCGAAACTTGAATCTGAGACGTTGTCCAAAATTATCGTCCATCGGTACTGATTTTAAACCGTCTAACTAACATTGTTCGTACGCTCTTTTCCATCTATGCGCTGAAGCAGCTTAGCTTTCTTCAGAAGTCTGTTAACGTGCCTTATCCGCACCACCTGTTCAGAACCTAGACGAGGAGACTGCTGGTCGCATGGGATGTCAGGCGGAAATGCAAACGTTGAGAGAGGAGATGCAATTTCTGAAAACGGTACATGAACAAGAATTAGAGGAGCTACGCAGCCTGATCAATGCAGACCGCGAGGAGGATGAGGACCATTGGAGAGAGGAAATGCAAAAGGCTATTCACGACATTCAAACGGAATACGATCAGAGACTAGAAAAGATTCGCAAGGAAATGGATATCAACTATTCGAACCGAGTGAGTTCGGCCAGTCGCTCAACATTTTTCTAACAGTAAGACTTTCGTCGCACCGTTTGTTACTATATTTAGGCACGTTACACCCAAGTAAGTTTGCGCCAAACGCGCATGACACATGCCCATCTGGTCTGCTTTGTCCCATCGACGTGAAATGTTTAACGAATCCGAACATCCTCGCGCTTGCTTGGGAAAGTAATCTTTCAGAGTTCTGAGGCATGCTTGAATTTTGACTCGAGCTTGCTATTCGATTTCGCTTCGTTCATTCGCTCCACAATAAATTGGGCTGCAAGTTGAAGAACTTTTATTCCCGAAGTTACAGATCCATTCTTAGACCAAGTGGATTGTCAACACGCTTCAACCGTGTTATAACATCCTCAGGTAAGGTGATGATATTTATGGCGTACGTGCCAATACTTAACACGACCTTATTCTGCAGCCCAGAAGTTAACATCATTTGCGACTCTGAAAAGGCTTCATCGGCTCAAGACAGTTGTGGGGTTGTAGAGCTTGCGAAAGGAGTGAAGCAGGTATTCTAAACTTATTCACTTCTCCAGTGCAAGATTATGGATTTCGCATTTTGTGTTACCCAGATTGGGGACCACTGGTCCATAACGTAAGTGACAAAATGCACTTAGACAGTTTGTGTGACGCATCTCTAGCGGGAGCAATTCAAGAACGGTACTATCTACAAATGAACAAGTAAGCATTGGGAATATATACGTCAACAGTAACGCTTCCAACTCGTCAGCTAAGGTGTCAAGCACATCGATCCGAGATCCCACATGCTAAGCTTCAGAGCGACCGGGGTACTGTGTGATGGGAACGTAACGCACAGCGTTGTTTTGCGACAAATGAAATGATAGGATTGGTTAATTGAATGATGGTCGGAAAAGCAATGGAGTGGAAGGAGATTTTTCTGTTTGTGGCACTCAGAAAAGGGATCACAGGCAAAGTGGTGCGGATTATGTGCTAGACAAATAATCTTAATAGATAAGGAGCAATGGGTCAAAAGTCAATAATCAGTGCCGAACATGCATGCGGTGGTCATGGACAGGTGTGGTGGTTAGCCACACAATCTCCTCGTAGTAGCAAATGGGTGGTTCGGGGTTAACACGTTCCAGCAAATAGTTCGGCTGCAGTGTTGCAGGATATCGTGGGGTTTCGTCTGGCAAGCGTGCTCCCTAGAAAAAAGCATAAATAGCTGATTAACAACACTGTGACGCGAAGTGTGCCAAAACCTCTTGGAATTTTCGCCGTTTGGGTTAACCCTAACTTATACTGTTAGAACAGTTTTTATCCTATGAGCTGCAAGTTTCCCAGAAGAAGTCGATGGGATGTGAGGGCAGGTAGGAGAAGCTTGTCTATGGACACGTGATATTCGCTGTTGAACACCTCAAGTAGTGTAAGCACTTAGTACAATCGAAGTGCGCTGCAGTGATACTGTGGCAAACAGCTGGCACATAAACGGAGGACATGCCTTCCGGTGATGAAAACCGTGAGATCAAGTCTTGCCGACGGGAGGGTGTGCGGTTTTTGAAATAGTATGAAACCGACCAGCATGACGAACGCTTACTACGCACCACATTGGATGAAACGAGTCACACATGCATACAATGTCGCGATGACGCATGACAGATGACCGCACCTCCTTGCATGACATTCATCGCACGTACCTTTGGGTAAAATAGCGGATGCGCTCTTCCATATCTCAAGTCCGGTTCACACGTTCTGACCCCAATGTCCGCGGTCAATCAGAAATAGGGCTGTTCAAGAGGAACTTTCCTACAGATAGTCTGTCCCTCATTGAAAGCATACTGTTGCCTAGTTCCTAGTGGCCCACTTTACTGATATTAATATTGTTCACACTTTTAGAGACCAGTAGGTGCGTGCCTTAATACCTTAAGCAAACAGTACAAAAGCGACCATTCGGTCGGGGATGTAATTCTACTGTCTGCTGTCAGTACCGCACAGGTGATCGACGATGTATCACACGCCTCCTTATGTGTGCGTGGTAGCCTGCATCTCTACGTCACATGCGCGAGTAGGATGTGGTGTGCCCACTGCCTTCTTGCAATATCCTTGAGTCTGTACGTTCTAGGTAGTGGACAATAACGATTATCATCACTACAAACCCACCAAGCACCCTTGACCCTTTACCTTCTAATTTAATCGTATTGTAGAAGTACAACTGACTGTAGCACTCTAAATTACATGTGTCTTTCCATTTAGCTGGAAGGGTTTATAAGGAAGGTAAAAGAACCGCAAGGTTAGTGCACGAAATGCGTGGGAAAGTTCGAGTGAACAGTCATTAGAACTGTGAACGCCACCGCTCGACTCCATAGCCAATGAGGGACATCAGTATGCTATTTGAAAATACATCAGCCAGATTCCTCCTTTATATTTAAAGTGCCCAAACTAGTGGTGGCAAAGCCTAACCATTTAAAATGTAACGTTGCATGAGTTATTCCTATAGGAACAACTGTTAACACGGTTGTCGTGACCTTGATACTCAGATATTACTCAAATGATTATCCTGTGATTTAGGATGTTGTAAACGTGCGTTTAAAATCCCACATGCCAGTTTGGGGGTTTATTTGTGTGTATCTCAAGACTTTTGATCCTCTGATTTTAGCTGGCAGAACTGAGTCAAGCACAGGCGGCCCAAAACTCGCGGTTCCAAAAGCTAACGGATGAGAACGCTGCACTCGCAAGCGATTTTGAGGCGATGCGTAAACGTGCTGAACAGCTCCGTGCAAAGGTGAGGTTGAGAACGAGTTCGCAGTCAAATGTATTCCTTCAATCATCAGCATATTTCGACTTTGGTGCACTGTATTCCCAACGCCTTCATGCCGATCATAAGAAACAAAATTGAACATCAAGTTAACCTACCCGTACGGTTGTGTATAATTTGGTGCATGTTTACAAATATTGTCTTTTAAATAAGGCCCTTATAATTTCACATCTAGACCCGCCGTACTCACAGTGGATGGTTTCATGGGAGGATACCCGGCCTACCAATAGTAACCTTATCGCAATTTAAAGGGGATTTGTCAATCGTTCCCTGATCTTGATCGCGCACTTCACTTGATCCACGGACGTATGCTAGAAAGATAACAATACTGTGAAGAACTGATTACCTAGCACAGTGTTCTCCAACCAGTGCCTAGGAGAGTATCATCGTTTGTTAATTATATCGAGTCCATCAAACTGCCACGTATGTAGGGAATCGGTGGTAAAGACCCACTGTGCGATTCTGATGTCCCAAATGTCCCAAATTAAGTTTTCGAACACATGCCAACAGGTTAACTTTTTCTGTTCCCTAAGAACTGATAATTGCAGCACAGTAGCTGAGGTGTTTCTTACCTCTAGCTAACATGTATGATGATGATGATGATGATGATGATGATGATGATGATGATGATGATGATGATGATGATGATGATGCTGATGATGCTGATGATGATGCTGATGATGATGATGATGATGATGATGATGATGATGATGATGATGATGATGATGATGATGATGATGATGATGATGATGATGATGATGATGATGATGATGATGATGATGATGATGATGATGATGATGATGATGATGATGATGATGCTGATGATGATGATGAGGAGGAGGAGGAGGAGGAGGAGGAGGATAATGATAACTAGAGTATGCACGTGCATTTTAAGCCACATGCCACTGATACAAAATCCGATTAGGACTATGGCCGTTCATACGTGTGTCAAGCGATCGCAGCTTTGTTGATAACCAATTTATTTCATATCCTCTTTTTGTGAAGTTAAGTCTGTTTGCCCTTATGCTTTAGTCGGTAACTATTATTTGATATTAGCATTTCAATTGATTGGCTATTGTTTGACATCCCTGGTGTGGCTGCGCTTGAAGTGTATGTTGACAAGATGCCTACCAGCCTAACATCCTTCACCTCGATTACTGGGTCCAGGAGACTGTGAATCATTGCTGGGGGGGGCGGAGTACGCGATTCCTTCGGCCGTGCTAAGCGCGGAGAGTGGTTCCATGCAATCAGTGTGTAGCGGACTGCGGTCCAACCATCGCCTTCTGTGCGATTGATCCCCTAACTATAGCGTGCTTGTGTTTGTCTGTGAAGGAGTGTGGGCCGGCTCCGCTGATGAAACGTGGCTCCCTTTCACATGCCTCCCGGTCTTATTCCTTCGGGTGTACACTGGATATGAGGTGTGTGGATGGAGCAGTGAGTGGTGCAGCGCAAGCCACCCATGGTCCTTCTGTAGGCGCTGGCGTCCTGTGACTGTCTTATGAAGGCCACAGCGACCGGCAAATCCGAAACTGGATGCCACCAACCATACGATCGGCTTCCAAGGCCGTGTCCATTTTTATTGCGCTTGTTCAATTTGACCATCCTTGCTGGGTTGATAAGAATAGATATCCGAATCACACGTTTACTGGTTCATCTTCTTCCATTTGTTTTCCGTTCGACTTGTACAATTCAGTGTGACGGCCTTGAAGAAGCTCTTAAAGCAACCCAGGTAGAAAATCAAACTCTGCGTAAAAACCTGGAAAACTGCCAAAGAGAAGCAGAACGGGAACATCGCATGACAGAAGATGCTTTAAACAAAGCCCTTGCGGAGCTCCAAGCGCTGTCAGATGCAAAGCTGAATCTGGAATCTGAAATAGCTGCGTACAGAAGACTGCTGGAAGCACAAGATTCCTTGTTCAATGATATCGGCAGTTCTAGAAAGAAGAATGACCCACCACCTCGGCCCAATGGACTGCGAGTCAGAGTACCTTCCTACGACTCATCCCCAATGTCGTCCACGGCACCACTTTCCAAAAGTGATATGTAAGTACAACTGCGTTGGTGTGGCTCTACTCCATCACAGTCCTCTTTAGTTGTAATATGGTGTGATGTATGTCCGGTAGTCGACGAGGGCCTTGAAGTTTGTTCTCCGCCTAAACACCTATTTGACTGGAGAAAGCAATAAGCTTGGGTACAACCAGTCTGTGTGCAAGCGTTTTTGTTGATATGCCTAATAAACACCGCAATATTGACTTGACCTAATTAGTTGGGACATCCATTACGAACAAAGTGCAATGGTTGGTACCTTTAAGAATGCTAGAGCCTCTTGGGTCCTGATAGGCGATGAAAAGCAAAGCAGTATACTGGGTTCTGCCAGTAATCAGTTAGTAACATTTGTTCTTGAGACATAATCTTTGGCCACAGTGGAGATCCAATTAAACAGTGCATTTTCGGGTTTTGGAGTACCCGCCGTGTGTGTTGGATTGCGGCATGCAATCTCACTTGCGGTCTCGGCTGACTTTGAACTCAGCCTCTGCCAATACGTTCACTTGGACCTTCACCGACGTGGGACGTTTCACTGTGGCTCTCTCACATCCCTGCATTCCACGATCGACGGTTCCGTCCAGGTTGAGACTCATCAGGTAGAGATAGTCGAGTTGGGATTGGAAGTCGACGCATAGTACTTGCCAGCTATTGCCATGGTCCCTAGGCCATTGAGCTCCGCGGAATTGGCACGGATGTGGGCCTATCAAGGTCACTTTGAACGGAACACGCCGTGCAGATTTTTTAACCTTGCCGTTAAGTTTGATCACTCGAAAAGTGGACCTACTAGATTCTAAGGAACCTCAAGCACCTTGATCGCCACCTACTGCAACTTAGAACTAACCCAGACCTGAGAAATCATCAGTTCAACTTCGCTAAGCAACTCAATCGGCTAAAATGTCCTTGGAACTTTTGCTCTCTTCTTGTGTCCCAGTGCTGGAACACCCTCTCTAATTAATTTAATTCCGCCGCCACATTATTTGTTTAAAAACGCTTTGACTCTACTTTGACCCATCTAAATTACTAAATGTAATCCCTGTACATTGGGAGATAATCTAATGTTATAATACAACAACTAGTTGGCCTATTTTACACAAACCTCAATGTGAACACTGAAGAGTCCGACAAAACACGTCTGCTTTTTCCAATTTGTGTTTCTCCTTCTCGCTATCCAAAGCGACATGTTAAGGACTTGCTTTTTTACCCTTAATGCACTACTGCTCCGTTGTTTCACTGATTGACTAGAAACATATAACCTGGTATGCAACCACGTCTCCAATTTGTTTCAATCTTTTTACAGTAGTGATTCGAATGCGTTGGAAACAGAACCCGAGGTCAGGTGCCTGGGGGAATTAGTGGCGATAACCAAAACATCCGCTTCTGATCTGCGCGTACACTATGGATACCTTCGAATTGTCATTCCGTACTAGCCAATGGCTAAAAGTCGATCCACACTACTCTTTAACTTGCTCGGCAAATTGGAGACATTCTATTTAACTCCTGTACTAAAAGGCGTTATGTCACTCTAGGTCGCAGTCCGATCGGTAGAATTGCGCGAATTCCATGAATTGCATTTTACTGTTCTTTCCTTACTTGATATAGTCTTGGTTTACTAAGTAGTACTGTGGCACAGAATTTTGTTCTTGGATGTGGTTGTCAACCGGTGAACTCATCCTCCTCACCATCTTTATCGCACTGACAGAGAGACGTTGCACATCCGGTTTAGAGATCGCTATATTTCATTTGGCAGAGAATGGCTAGGTTGTGGTGCGATCAGTAGCTTCACAGTTAATCGTAGAATTCGACGAGCTAAAAAATTACGACGCTTCGAATTTCGACCGTACGATACACTGCACTACCCCAATCCGCTTAGGGTTTCTTGTCATGAGTGGGCATGGCAGAGGGCACTGCAGCTGCACAAGTAAAAATTCAACAAAGAAAATTTGTATATCACTCCCGTGTGTGTTAATCAGCAGTCTGTCGGGTGCCTAGTGGCTAGAGACAACCAAACATATGAGCTGGATCAGACTTTGAGATGTGGTTCGGGAAATGTGCAGCTATAGCCTGTTCGACTTAAACACTTATTTCACCATGCTGCATGGAGTTAGGCGACTGTATTCAATACCATCACTTCTGGTTAAATTGGAGTTAAGCTTCAACTAATTCGTTATCTATGTTTTATCCAACATGCACAGCTTTGTCCGATGGATGGACCGAGACGAACCGAGTGGCCAGTCTGCTAAACAACAGTTTATCGAACGCAAGGTAGAAGGTAAGTCATCCAAGGTCGCGGTCGATAGTGTTGTGTGAGTCAACTAGCGGGCGGTTGTTTTTTTATGGTAGATTTCAAACCTTTTCCGACCGCGCCCAATATTTGCACTCATGAATCATTGGTAACGCCCACAAGTCTCGAGTAAGCAGTTACATGTAAACAACCGCTACAGCAAAGACACTCACTTTCGCGGCCTATAACCATGGTTACTGCTGGGCTATTTGTGCTTGTTCGCGCGGGTGTACACCTTCGCTATTCCTAATCCATGCAGCCCTCGCAGCAGGAGGACACCATGAAAAGTGGTCTCTCAACAAGCTTTAGGTTACTTTACAGCTTTGGTGCAGTACTGTACACTAACTGATTCCAGTGCGAGTTCGGAATCGGTTGAATATCGGTGAAACGTAAAGTAGACAGTGATTCCAAAAAGATATTAACGTCGATTCCAATGGTATAGATGACCTGTCGAAATTTAAATGCGGAGTCCCTGAATCTTTGTTAGTTCTTCCGGCAATGGGACGGTAATGTGCGAGGGGATCAGTATGGCGAATAAATTCCAATCCAGTGGTTGCACGAGTCTGCTAGGAGGTTGGCATGTGATATATCATCCTTCGTACTTTGACCATCACGTGGTCGAAATGCATGACAGATATGAGGACGATGAGATGTTGCTCCCAGAATCCTCTGTGAAGTACTACGAATCAGAAACAAACCAAGCGGTCCCACAGCGAATGCCTGATCAGTCCCAAGCTGGTTATAAGTGATGAATACATTGAGTCAAATGAGTTTCGCCATTTCTTACGTTAAGCCATCTGCCGTGAGTGATCAGTATAAAGTTCATGAAACTATGCTTATGCAATGCATCAGCTATCGCTGGTTGACACAAGCGTGACATTCTAGTGATCAATCCAGACGGCGTCGCTGCATCAGCGATCGGCAACTGACATGAAATTCTACGAGTCACGGGTTAGACATTTTGTTATCGCAATTATTAGGGGACTTCCCGCTGCTGTGGTAGCTTAGTCATGTAGTTTGAACACTGGATAGCTGATCGTGTGCCTGACAGCGTTATTTGAGATAATAGTGGCTTAACCCGCTGTTCAAGCTTTTGCTCTCAAGTGCCTGTAGAGATCAGTGTATGGAATATCAGAACACGATGAGCTGATCTCACAGTCAAGGCATAACAGGGTAAAATGTCAATTTTTACTATGCTCTACTGTGATTGTGGCGCAGTGGCTAGATATGGACCCTTCAAACAAGTGGCGTATCAACTACTTTCGCCGCCCGGGGCTGTGGCAGAATTTTCACCCTGACGGCAGGCAGAATAGGCACGTGGAGGCCATGCAATTGGCTCTTGGTAAAGTAAACATTACTCGTAAGTAGCAGGATTTTAGTTGTAATTTTAAGGCATTCCTCCAAGTAGTTCACAAGCTACATAGCACAGCCTAGTCCAGGATTGCACCATATGAATCTCGTCCTATTGGGGCTCCTCAGTGGTGCGCATTCCCTCGGTCCCCTACTGAGGATCGCGCACAAGACCTCTGGAGACAGATGCCAACTAGCCAGCAGCTTAAGCCACTGAACCGTGGGGGACGTCGGCTAGGCTACCTAATTTGCAAGCTAACTGGGATATATATATATATATATATATATATATATATATATATATATATATATATATATATGTACACTAAACGTTAATTTTCAATAAAAGGGTGGTCGTTTGGGACACTGAAATAAATGTGGTGAAAGTGACCACTATGGGACAAGCAAGAGGATCAGTAGAAAGAACATTTGCACAAGTGTGACACTTTGTGCAATGGTTGTGTTGGTCACACATGGCAAAATTAATTTCTCCAACCCTCATGTTATCTGGATATTTTGCCCTTTGTATTTACTTTCGCAAATTCGACGGTACTAAAAATGTCGCCTCCTGTCGCATGCGGCCCTTGGGCGTAACGCACCCAAGACCCCCATGCTACGCCACTGCTTCAAATATCTCCGGTAATTTTGCGCTAATCAATACATAGAATTTGTGCGCTATATGGTAAGTTATTTGGCGAGAGGCTGAAGGCAACCCAAGCTGCAGCAGGAAACCGCAAAGGGCAGGAACTTGATGTGCATAACTAAGAATCTTACTTTTATCAGTGTAATGCGCGTTCAGATTGAAAGGAAACTATCCAAGAAACAATCACAGCTATATGTGTAGAATTAATTTACAGCTGATTTCAGCAATTTGAAAATAACCGGTTGGTATACTTTGTGGGCATTGTTTTGCTTTTTATGCGAAAACTTCCTCAGGCCGAAGTGAACCAGTGAATGGTTTACGTGTGTGACCTTGTAACGCGACCACTTGTGACCATTCTATGGAGTGACACTGTAACCTGTAACGCGAATGACCTTCTACTTACATCCCATTCGTCGCAATTATCTTCCCAGTTTGCTATAAGGGCCAAATCAATCCTCGACTGGTTCACTCGACCTGACGAAGCTTTTGTATCAAAAGCGAAACCTTTCCCACAAACTGTACCAACTGGTTGTTTTTAAATCTTTCTGAGCGATTCCAAACATTTTTCAAAATGTTACCTTACTGTTGGTTTCCCTGACCACACGAACGAATGTGCCACTTAAGATTATAGCTTGATCTGAATGTAGTTCTAAGTGTCTTCTTTTTATTTCACTCCCATACTTCTTACGCAATCAGACTTAAAATTCTACGTCTATTCTATGCAACAGCAATGGTTTTGAAGTATTTTGGGACCTTGGATATTTCGTTACTCTACCCATAACATGACTGATTGGCTTTAGACCATGCCTCACTAATAGGTTAGAATATTCAGACTTTCATCTTTCGGCGTAAGTACATGTAAATCTGGTAGAGAGCAAGAAGTACTTTCTTACGAATACCGTGTCCTTCGAATGATCTCCTGTGCAAACGCCTTGACATGTGGCCATAAATTTAGACATCAGGCAGAAAGCCGCTTGTAAACAGCAGAAACCATAGTGACCGCATTGCAACCGCATTGCAACTCTTATCCTCATCACAGTCTACAGATGGAACAAATGGTAGGCGTTATCCAGGGCATTCTTCTCCAAGGCACTTTTGTGACTCTCACGTAGTCCTGACTTGTATACGCCATTAATCAGTAACTACAGTGTTTGAAGAGCGAATTTGCTCGTGTGCAATATAGATAGAAAGTGAACTAACCATTAGTCCATCCGACCACCATACACGGGTGTTGTCTTCTGCGCATACCAGTGGTTACGGAATTAATCAGTTCCCTATCTGTGCGACCAACAGACGGATAAGGCAACTGTCTAACTTGATCACTGACTGTACTCGTATGGAGGCAGTCAAAGAGATACCTTTCTTGCATGGAATACAGTTTGACTAGCGTTTCTTTTCGATTGTCCTTAATTACCCGTAACCTGAAACAAACGACTTTTCTCTACGTCAGAATGAAACAGCGACAGTGGTTGGGCAACCAGGAATTTGTGAAGTCGGCGAAATCGAGGATGACCTAGCACGTCTATATTACTCTTCAAGCGCCAGCCAATGTTACGATGCTGAAAATATACTATATATATATTCTGTTTCGCTTTCTGATGGACGATCCTTCTATCTCTTTATGCGTAGAAGTGAAGTCATGCAAATTTTCCAGGTTTTGCTTTGAAACAACGCTTCTAACGCTAACCAGCATTTGGGAAGCAGATGTTTTGGCCATAGCGCTAAAATATAAAATGCTGCTTTCACTTTTATTGATTCTTTACCTAATCTTGGTGGCAAATAAGACGGTTTGAGTCGCGATTGCACATTTTGGTGACTAATCCAGCGCTTGATAGCAAGGTAACATCGGTCGTGGGCACCGAACAGTGTGTGACCGGCTTCAGTCACGTGTGGTCCAAGCTTGGCTCCGTTTTTAATGCGGAATATATCTGCATTCTTAGCAGTTGTTTAAAAGTGTTAGATTTTTCTCCACAGTCTAAACTTCGTTGAATATCCAACGCTTCACATCTGTTAACGTACAATCATTGACCCGACTTTAATTCGTTTCCTAGTCAGGGGCTTTCGGTTTAAATTAGTCAGTGTCCTCATCTAAGTACGTATATTGTATTACATGTACTTCACACCAGCTTTACTGAAGATTGCGGTTCATTAATCCATTCGTCTCTCACTTCGAAATCGTGTTTGTTCTCTCATAGTTACAAAGTTGCACCCAAGAAGATAAGCCATCTTGCACTTGTTGTACTGGATACGCTTAACCTGCTCCATAAAATCCTGGGTGACCGTTTGCTACAAAGATAGCAAACAGCTTCCGCCTCACCTATTTTTACACACATTGGCACTCCACCTCAATCTATACAACTTCAAAGTTCTCACCACAGTTGTGCGGTTTTGCCGGCTATCCGGCTTAAGTGGAATCACAGTATTATTGGGCGTGGCCTTGGTCAGTTTTCAATTTCTACGGTCTAATGAGACGTACAAGAATCAATATTCTAAGAAAGGCCTATAAACTCACCATCGTCCTAGTGATGTGTAGTAGGTTGCATTCAACACTGCACTGTAAGACCGGTTTCGTCTCAGTTTGAAATGCTCAGATGTACTTACCTGGCTGGGATTTGAACTCGAACTCGGGATGTAACAAATACAAGCGCACACATACAAGGAAACTGCCTTCTATGCCCTCCTACTTGGCGTACAAATCCCCAATATTGCAATAAGGATATGTCCTCACTTTGTGTTTTATGCTGAGGTGGATGTTAAATCCATCATACCTCTTCATTGCAGTTGGGCTACACCGACTTACACATAAACTAGGTCTTCTCAACCTGGATAAAAAGCATTCCATATTATTTGATTTGCTCACTTTGTTATTCAGCTGCATATGCCGTGGAGGTTGTTTAATATCCCCGGTGTGGTTGCGCTTGGTGTGAATCATGACAAGATGGCTACCTGTTGAAAAGCCCCTACTTTGATTAAACTGGCTCCAGGAGGCATTTGT